AAATGTAAAGCTACTTACTGTTTCTCTATATGTCTTCTATCTAGGTCTACATACTTCTGAAAGTAGTGTTTCCATCATCCAAATACTTCCTTAAAGAATTTCCCCTTCACCCAAGTTAACATGGGATTAATTCTTGTTTTCTCCCTTAGGATGGAACTCCATGAGAGTAGGGGCAAGGCTGCTATCTCCATGGTATCCCACAACGCCTGACACTTAATAGGAGTTAAAACACCTTGTTGAATGAAATGACTATCTTATGACAGAATGTTATTGTTCTTATGTGCCATCGAGTTGGTTCCAACTTATATCAACCTGAATGGGGTTTCCGAGAAGCTGTTAGTGGATTTGAACTGCTGATCTTGTGGATAGCAGTCCAGTGCTTACCCTCCAGTGCCTTACCAGGACTCCATGACAAAATCATGTTAGCATTATTTTTTAGGGTTATTTTTCCTTATTCTAAGCAACTGGTATTTATAATAGCATTCCTAAAGCTTCCTCAGATTATGTAGGAGGAAAAAGGAATAGATATACACACAACTACATTGGAAACATCAGAAAGTCATTTCATCTAAACTATTTAAAAGGATGACCTTAATTTAGATAATGCAGTCAAATGTTCATGAATTTCACAAGCAACTTAACAGTTATAAGAAAAAAATTATATTACTATATAAAACTTACTACAGAAAAATTAAAATTTTTAGTAGGTGGTAACAAACCATATGTTAATATTCTACTGTGTTGAAATTAGAAGTAGAAAGTGATAGTTTCTAGAAAGCATTAGTTTATCCTTTTATTTTTACAGTGGCATGACATACAAAAATTGATTTTTCTTGACAGAAATTTAAATGGAAGTGAATGGGATAGCTATAAAATGAAATCTTATTTATGTTCTATTTAATATTGTCTGTACAAGGTTTCCGTTTGAACTGCAAAGTCGGCAGTTCAAGCTCACCAGTTGTTCCTCAGAAACCCTATACAGAGTCACAATGGGTCAGAACGGACTCGACGGCACTTCACAACAACAACATACAAGGTTTCCAAGAAGCAGCTGGTGAACTTGAACCACCGATCTTGCAGTTCAAATGACTCTGCAGTCTGAAGCATTAGCCCACAGTGCCACAAAGGAGTTCTGGTAGCGTAGTGGTTACAAATAGGGCTGCTAATCTCACGGTCAGCAGTTCGAAACTACCAGCTGTTCCACGGGAGAAAGACGAGGCTTTCTGCTCCCGTAAAGATTTACAGCCTCGGAAACCCTGTATAAGTTGCTATGAGTCAGAACCGACTTGGCGGCACTTAACAACAACAACAACATACGGGTGGTAAGGTATTTGAAGATGATTCTTAGACTGATCTGAAGAGTGGATCTGGAAATAGGTCAAGCCACAGCTAGGTGAGGCTTCAGTTAAAAAAAATAATGAGTTCAATTTTTTATTGTACTGTTTTTAAGGTGACAAACTTACCAGGTGGAAATGTCTTGAGAGCATTTTTATATGTAGAAATTAATCTGATATGAAACAGCATCTAGGCATCTTAAACTAAATGCCTTTCTGCTCCTGAAAAACCAAAAACTTCTTGGTCTCTTTTCCCTCTCAGTTAGCAACATTCACAGAAAAAGCCACAAGTCTTGAGGCCACCCTAAATTGTGCTCTCGCCCCCCCCCCCCCCCATTGCCTAAACGATTTCTGTCATCATCTATACTTTTTCCTCTCCATTGCCACAGCTACTTCTCTGGCCTTCAGCTAGATTATTTCAACAACTTCCTAACTGCTCTTCCAGAATGTAGTCTTTGAAAAACTTCTTATTAAGCCTTTATGATTTGATCCTCAAGTTCCTGAACTTCACCTTCATCTTCTCTTTCCCTTTCTCCAACCGTACCTATTAGTCAATTCCAAAACAATATGGTACAGAGTACAACTGCTCCATCAAATTTTCGTGGCTGTAATCTTTACAGTAGCAGTTCATCAGGCCTTGCTTTTGTGGGGCCACTGTCAACATTTAGTCTAAAAACCAACTGCTAACTTTTTGAGCCTCCCAAACACCTTTCACGTATACCGGAAACTATTTTCACACACCAATTTCTTAAGCAGTTCCTTACTCCTAACTTTCTTCTTTCCACTAATCTTATTGGAATTACACTATTGCTGTTGGTTTTTAAATGCTGTCATGTTTGTTCCAACCCATTTGTTATTATTAGGTGCCATCAAGTCAGTACCAACTCATAGCGACCCTGTGCACAACAGAACGAAACACTGCCCGGGCCCCTGGGCCAACCTCACAATTAATTGTTGCCACGCTTGAGCTCATTGATGCTGTCACTTTGCCAATCCATCCTGCTGGTCTTCCTCTTTTTCTCTGACCCTCCACCTTACCAAACATGATATCCTTCTCCAGTAACTGGTCCCTCCTGACAATATGTCCAAAGTATTAGAGACAAAGTTTGGCCATCCTGGCCTCCAAGGAACACTCTGGCTGCATTTCTTCCAAAACAGATCTGTTGGTTCCTTTGGCAGCACATGGCACTTTTAATATTCTCCTCCAACACCGTAACTCAAAACCATCAATTCTTCTAAGGTCTTCCTTATTCACTGTCCAGATTTAACATGCATATGAGGTTACTGAAAATACCATGGCTTGGGTCAGGTGAACCTTTGTCCTCAAGCTGACATCTTTGCTCTTCAACACTTTAAAAAGGTCTTGTGCATCAGATTTGCCTAATGCAATACATCGTTTGATTTCTTGTCTGCTGCTTCCATGAGTGTTGATGATCCAAGAAGAATGAAATCCTTGACAATTTCACTCTTCTCCATTGATAAGAACATTGTTGACTGGTACAGTGGTGAAGATTTTTGTTTTCTGAAGGCTGTGCTTTTTGATCTTCATCAGTAAATACTTAAGTCCTCTTCACTTCAGCAAGCAAGATTGTATCATCTGCATATTGAAGGTTGTTGATGAGTCTTCCTCCAATCCAGATGCCACGTTCTTCTTCATATAACCCAGCTTCTCGGATTATTTGCTCAGCATACAGGTTGAATAAGTATGGTGAAAGAATACAACCCTGTCGCACACCTTTTAAAATTTTAAACCATTCAGTATTCCCATGTTCTGTTTGAACAACTGCCTCTTGGTCCATGTACAGATTCTTCATGAGCACAATTAAGTGTTCCGGAATACTCATACTTTGCAATGTTGTCATGATACACACAATCGAAAGCCTGTGCATAGTCAATAAAGCACAGGTAAACATCTATTTGATATTGTCTGCTTTCAGCCAAGATCCGTCGGACATCAGCAATGATATCCCCTGTTCTATGGCCTCTTCTGAATCCGGCTTGAACCTCTGGAAGTTCTCTATCAATGTATGCTTGAAGCTTCCAACCTATAGCGTCCCTGAATAGAGTTTCCAGGGAGCGACTGGTGAGCTTGAACAGCCAACCTTGCAGTTTAAACTGACTTTGCAATCCAGGGCATTAACTCACAGTAACACACCAGGAGTCCTCCACTTACTGGAATTACAAAATTATCCTTATGGAGGAAGAAGGTATGATATGGCCTAACGTGAGAGACAAAAAAAAAAAAAAAAAGGCCAAGAAACTCTTAGTCTTCAAACCTCAACTCCTCAATTTAAATATGGGTTCCTTAAGCCTTCCTCTATAGGAAAATTTAGTCGGCCCCATTGGTGATCTTCAAATTAATTATTTCTTACCCCAAAATTAGCTGAGTCATTATCTTCCATATGAGAAGCTAGGCTTACTATTTGACATATATGTTCTTGAGACTATGGACCTATACAGAACAACTAACAAATCTTTCTGGAAGTACAGCCAGAATACTCCTTAGAAACCAGGACAGCCAGATTTTGTTTCTCATACCTTGCACTTGATGTCAGGAGGGACCAGCCCCTGGAGAAGGACATTCTGCTTGAAAAGTCAGAGGATCAATGTAAAAGAGGAAGACCTCACCGAGACGATTGACACAGTGGTGGCAATAATGTGCTCACACACAGTGATGATGATCGTGAGGCTAAAGCAGGGCTGTGCAATGTTCATTCTGCTGTACATAAATAAGGTCACTATGAGTCAGAATTTACTAGAAGGTACCTAACAATAATTCTTGAGACAGTCTATTAGGAGTTTGACTACATGTCATTCGTTGTCACACCTCTTTCTGTGTTAGAAATGTGGCCACAAAAGATTTCTCCCTTTGACCTCAAGAAGATGACTATGGGAGGACATTTTTACGTGCTACGTCATGACGTCTGAGAGGAGGGTGGGGACATTTAAGGGAAAGAAATAACAGGGCGGGATGAAGCTAGGAGGGGAGGGTTAGTCTAGGCGGGGCGGTACCCGTCTGGGATCTGAAGTGCTTCTGCTATTCAGCCAGCGCGCCGCAGCGGCGGGAGGCAGGGCGGGGAAAGTCCACTCGAAGCTTGGTCCCGAGAGCGTGCACAGGAACGCAGGCCCAGATCTAGGACTGCCGCGTATCCGAGCGGAAGCGGGTGGCATCTAGGACTGGTGGCCGGCACACGAGCTCCGCGGGCGGGAAGCACTCTGGAGCTGGAAAGCCCCTGGAGCATTGGGGTGGCACCTCCCTCACTCAAGGGTCCGCTGCTTGGGTCACGGGGCGCGGTGCCACCGCAAGCGTCTCAGGCCTGGGGTTCCAAAAGTCGGACCAGGCTCCACCTCTGCCTGGCTGTCTCACCTGCGGGTAGCTCTGCGCCGCCTCCGCTGGAGTAGACGGCACCTGCGTCGCCTCGCTCGCAGGTCTCCGCCCCTCACTCCCGGCGCCAACCCCTGGTGTCCCCGGCCTCGGTGTGCGCACGGGTTCGGGCTGCGGGAACTGGGGCGCGGCGGGCGCGGCGTCTTCGCCACCGCGCGGGGAGGACGCAGGTGGAGCGGGCGAGGCTTCGCGGAACCCGCCGACGGTCGCCAACCCGCCCGACCGCCGTCGTCCGAACCGCCGCTGGGCCCCAAGGACCGAACCGCAGCAAACCCGGCAACATGAACAGCAGCAGTGCCAATATCACGTACGCTAGTCGGAAGAGGAGGAAACCGGTGCAGAAAACGTGAGTGTCCCGAGCGGTGTCCTCGGTGCGGGCGCTGGGCTCTGGGACATGAGGGTGCAGGTCCTGCCCAAGGCTGGCCGCGTGAGGCGGCCCCACCCCGCCCCTCTGTCCCCTGCGTTCCGGGAATTAGATCCATTCCTGACCCAGCCTGTGGGATCAAGCCTTGGAGGCTTGAAGGACTGAGAGTTTGAATCTTTCTGTTTTCAATGACTGCATTTTGAAAGTTGACCCCTCTGCCACCCACCCACCCCCGCTACAAGCGAACACGCACCCACTCTTACCCACAACCCTTAGTAGCTCTCTTATTTCAGTGGTCCTAATGTGCTAACTCCTGGTGTGCCACTGTAGGGTCTGCACTGACTGCGAGTCACAAAGTCGGCAGTTCAAACCCACCATCTACTTGGAAATGGTGGGTCTCCATGAGTCGGAACCGACTCGACGGCACTTAACAACAACACCGTGTCGACAATTTTGTCCCGTAAAGTCAGATTGCTAACTTGAGACTGTCTTGAAGTCCCCTTACGCTATATAATATATTCATATCGTTTAGCTTCAGAGGACTGTCATAGTTCTCATTCTTGGAGGAGACTGAGAACTTGGTTAATGTTTTGAAGAATCAAGCACGTGCGGTCTTTAAAAAAGGGGGACTGAGTGGCTCTGAAGGTATTTTCTCTTTTTTTTGACCCGGAGTGTCAGGTTTTGTGTTGCCCTCTCATTTATTTATTTGGCTATATCGGTAGAGTATGGGGATAGTAACAGGGTGTAGGTGAGTACAGAGGACAGACATTGTGGGGAAATTTGTATTTCCAGTGACTTTGGGGGAAAGCAGTCTCATAACTTTTGGGGATAGTTTGAGGATCTAGAAAAGATTTCGGAACTGAATTTATTGAGGGAGGCATTGTGGTTATTAGTGTATATTCCTCTGATTTTCTTTCTTCCCAACTTGACCGTTTTGTCAGTTCTAGTAATTTGGATTTTTTTGGTTATTATTTTGGTGAGATGGCAAATCCTTTCCCTTCCCCCAAGATCCCCCCCCCCCCCCCTGCCCCAGGAAATATCATCTGAGCTTGACAGATTTCCTTTTCTGTCTTCATTCCTAATAATTATTCTGAGTTACTTTAAATTACCTACATCTTTCAAATATTTGTAAATAATTTTTAAAGCATATTAAGCGTAAAAACATACTCAGAGCACATTCGCTTAAAATGTCACTAATGCAAACCAAGCAAAAAAAATAACACTTTTAGATTTGTATTTTTAAGTTGCTGGTTGGAAATTTCATTACTCTAGAATTTTCATTTCCATTTAGATTTTCAGTGATCATAGTTCCTCAAATCTAGACTCAACAAAGGATACTAGACAGCGTGATAGGTTGTCTACTATTAAGAATAGTGTCTATTCAGCAATTTTCTGTCTTGACAGTTCTACAACATTGTTTTTAATAACAACATTTTCTAGAATTTTTTTTTTTTTTTTTGTAGAAAAATGTGCTTGTCTATTTGACTTTGTCCTTGATAGCTAAAATTGGGAGGCACCCCAAAAGCCTGTCCATAGAACTAGTACGATAGCACACACAGCATAGTGTATAATAAAGCTTATTGTTAAGTGCCATGGAGTCGGTTCCAACTCATAGCGACCCTGTGTAGGGTTTCTGAGGAGCAGCTGGTGAGCTTGAACCACCAACCTTGCAGTTCAAACTGCTTTTCAGTCTGGCCCATTAACCCACAGTGCCACACCAGGACTCCACAATAAAGGTGCCAAGGATTATATTGGTGTGACATGAAAAGCAGGACTTCTCATTGATGAGTTCTTAAGATTTTGAATTTCAGTGTGTTACAAAAACACTTGGTGCTTTATCTTTCCCTTTAAAAGCCTTAGCTTGTATTCATTATAACATTTAACATTTTTGGTTTTGTAAATGTTTTTATTGTTGGAAAAAAATGTAGTATACTGTGTTCAAACTTTTTGTACTCCCTCTACTCAATGGGAGTGGTTGGTTGGTAAAACAACAGAAAACTTTGAAGGCAAGTGTTATTTGGGAAAAAACACAGTAATGTTTTATTGATGATTTTCTCTTTTATTGTATAAAATTTCCCTTATATTTATATAAAATGTATTTTTAACATATCTTAATGTTTTATGCTTCCTAAGGCTTTCATATAGGTTATGTAATTAGTTTCCATATTATAATATAGTTAAAGCATTTTCCTCAATTACCCTCATTGTAATTTACAAGGTAGAGAGATGTTTATCAGGTCTTTACTGAGCACCATACATTACTTCTGATTGTATAAATTCCTTAACAAATTGCTCTATAAGAAAAGACTAATGCTGGCACTTACATGGTAAAGTGAAATTGTTTATGAAACATGTTTGCCTAAATAATAATAAAAATAAAAAAGGTTATCTTAATAACACAGATAATCAAAGTAAATGTTAGTCCTATGAACGAAGTCCTTAAATCTAACATTAAGTTTAATTTGAGTTTTTAGTTAAAATTTAATATTAGCTAGTTTGTTGATAAAGGGGCCTACAACATACCAACATTCTCATGGGAAAAAATCATCTTGTTTGAACTAAAAATGTTATCCAAATATATGTAACTTTGATCCTTAACTGATAACTTTTATTTTACTTGCACAGAAATTGCACTGTAGCACAACTATAAAGCTGTTGAAAAGACAACCATTTAAATATCCAATTCTATTACAATTTTAGAGCAATTGGAATATAGATGGCACAATTTTAATCAGAAGCTCTTCCAGTCCACTGAATTTACTAAACAAAACAAACTCCCTCTAGTGGCAAGTCTGACATTGAAAATTGTCTTTGTTGTTAAGTCCCCTCAAGTTGGTTCCCACTTACAGAGTCTTATATAGGGCTTCCAAGGAGCAGCTGGTGTGTTTGAACTACCCACCTTGTGGTTCACAGTCGTGTTGATCCTGCAGCACCACAGAGATAAATTTTAAGTGTTAATTTTAACCCATCTAAAATGTAACTTACCCATGAAAAACCCAACCTACTGCCATCAAGTCTGAGACTCCATCAGTATGGAGCAGAGAGCTCACCTTTCTCCTGAGGAGCGGCTGATGGGTTTGAACTGCTGACCTTGTGGTGAACAATCTAGTGCCCATCACCAGGGCCCCTATATTCCACATAGTAGACACTATGTTTCCTATCTCTTTAGAATAATGAAAATTAGGGAATTGCAGGATGTGAAAAAACCTTGATTCAGCATCTGATCCATGTTCCTGCCTCTGTAAAAAAAAGTTTCAAAGATAACATAGGATAGATTCTTCTGTACCGCTCCTTAGGGTGTTTTTCAAATACTCAATAACCCCAGTCAAAAAAGAACTAATGTGTTTATTTAAATTCTGCTCTTCTTTTATTCCTTTTTTGAGATTAGTCTTATTTTGTATTTGTTTAATTATGGTGGTTCATGAAAACATTTGAAAAGTCAAATATTTAACTCGGGTAATATTTTTGTATTTTCAAAGTTTTATTATATAGGGAAAAAAAAAAGATTTGGTAAAAATAAATGACCTTATATCTAGAGCATTAGTACTGAATGTTGGCAAATAATAGCTTTTCAGTAAATGACATTCTTCACTTAAAAATATCAGCAGTTTGTGGTTATCAGAACACAGCCATCATGAGGTGTCAGAACTGGAAATAAACATTAACTTTATTAACATACAAAAAAACCTGGTCATTCTTGCTGAATTCATTCTATTTAGATGTCATGGACCTCATTTACTGCCAGTTTAATAGAAGAAATTATGTAATTTTTACCGAAAATATTTCATATTATCATATGATACCGTTTGCTAAAAAGTATCTAAAATGAAAAGATGTCTTTTAAATTATAGAAGTCTTTCCTTACTATCATCTTCTTTTCAACGAGCTGTATTTAGATAGCTTATACTTAGTGGGGGGAGGAGGAGAAGTGCAGTAGCATCATACAATAAACACTGGACTTTAAACCACCAAGTTGGCGGTTTGAGCCCACCAACTTTGGCTTGGGAGAAAAATAAGACTTTCTGCTCCTGCAAAGATTACAGCCTTGGAAACCCTATTGAGGATCACTGTGAGTTGGAACCAATTCAAAGGCACATAACCACTACCATTATGGTGTGTGTTCATAGATAATGTCTATTTGAAATGTCCTTTACATTTTTATTTGCTTGCCTTATATATTTGTCTTTGGTTGATTTTTTTTCCTTTTTTTTTTTGACTGACATGTATTTAGAATGTATCTCTGTTCAATATATATTTTTAAAAATTAAGGTGTATAGATGTAACCTCTGTCGGTCAATTCTTTTTCTATTCACTATCAGTCCAATCCTCTCATTGTTTAAATAGTAGGAAGACGAGTCTAGTGTGATACTAGCATGTTAGGAATTATTTCTTGAAGACCTGTTGTGGTAGTTAAATATTTTATCTTTCTTTCCTCTCTCCTTCACCTTGCTTAAACCTCCCAACATAATTTTATCACATTTTTAAAATAAAATTTTCATTTAGTGTTCCCTATTTTTAACTATGCAAATTTTGTATGATTTTTTTTTTCTTTCCCATCCTAAATCACTGATTTCTCTCCCACATGCTTTCCATTTTCATTTTGCTTGTTGTTTATTTTGGAGTTCAACTGTTTCCTAGGTCTGTTAAAGCTAGAGTTTGTGTTTCTTTCTCTCTTTGCCTAGTGTTGAGATGAATTTTAGAAGGCAGGGGTGGTTGCAGTCAGCTATGCACTCTAGCTTCTTCAGACTGGCAATGTCTGCCTTGTGTTTAAAACCTAACTTCGGTGTCTTAGCTCCATGAAACCTTCCCCCATTTCCAATGTGTACATGAGCTCTTACTCTCCTGAACTCATAAGCATTTTGATTAGATCACTTTTATAGTACCTCCATTATTGAGCAATACTTGATTTTGTCTTGTAATAAAATATCTCTCCTCCTACTAGGTAGTATATATTCTAAAAATTAATTTAACAACTCATCACT